ACACACACACACACACACACACACACACACACACACACACACACAGATTACATGTCACAGCCAATTAAAAGTTTAAGCAAATATGTGTGTGTGGGAGAATTTATGTTTCTGATTGCCAATTTCACAAAAAAATCTTCCATCAACTGTGACATTGTGTAACTCTTGGTGGCATCTCTCATCAGGACTGTGTTTCATGTCTTTGGTTGTGTTTGTGATGTGTTTTTTCAGGCTGGTATCGATGGCAAACATCTGCTCTGGTGTCTCCTGCAGCTAATCACAGGCTTTGATTACTCGCCCGCAAACAAAGAGCAACATTAGGAACATTTTCTGTCTGTAATCCTCACAGAAACGCCACGTTTGTCTTCTACTGGTGATAATGCTCGACATCCATGAATTAATCTGTGACGTGAAGAATGAGGATTATTAAACCGAGTGTTTCCACTAGAGACATAAAAACACACTTCAGCGGTTTCAGATCATTTCTGAATGATCCAAATTAATTTTATAACAGTATCAATCCCCGCTTTCTGTACACATTGTTATTGGGATCAAGTCTGATCTCAGATGCTCTTTGTTCAGAGTGACCCTTTAAAGCACTCTTACTTTAGTCAAAATTAAAGATCCTCCCAAACACCCTAAAATCACATCAGTGTTCACTTTAAAGGGACAGTAAAGATCTTTACATTTAGATCTATTCAGCTCCATCAAACACACAAAGATGACGGATGAGAGGACATTTGTGTGACATGAGACAAATTACAAACACACACACACACACACACACACACACACACACTCACTCACTCACTCACTCACTCACTCACTCTCTCACACACACACACACACACACACAAACACACACTCACACACTCACACACACACACACACACCCTCTCACTCACACTCACACACACACACACACACACACACACTCACACTCACACTCACACTCACACACACGCACGCATTAATCCATCGGCCTCCGAGGCGTTCAGATTTCAATTGATCATACCGGTTTACCTGACAACATTTCTGTTTTTCCAAAACAACAATTTTCAATGGATTAATAAAATCTCAAGTATAGACTGATTTTGCACATGACCAAATGCGACATGAAGACAGCACTTAATATGACGTTTAAATAAATAAAAAAAGTGAATTTTTTATATTTACATGGGTAAATATTAAACAAAGATTTTAGGCTAAAGTTTGTGTGTGTGTGTGTGTGTGTGTCTGTGTGAGTGTGTGTGTGTATGTGTTTGTGTGTGAGTGTGTGTGTGTGAGTGTGTGTGTGTGTGTGTGTGTGTGAGTGTGTGTGTGTGTGTGTGAGTGAGTGTGAGTGTGAGTGTGAGTGAATGTGAGTGAATGTGAGTGTGTGTGTGTGTGTGTGTGTGTGTGTGTGTGTGAGATAAAGACCAGCGACTCGTCTCGTTACAACACAGAAACACAATCACAGACAGAGAGATTAGACGCGGATCACAATAATCAAATCTTGCTTCTCCTGTTTTCATATCTCGTTTGGGAATGTTGATGAGGTAAAAACATGATTTGATCAGATCAGATCAGATTAAATGATGGAGCTGGCGGTGTAATCCAGCAGAGATTACTGCGGTAAACATGACTGTAATTTACTGCGGTTATTTGTGCGGCGTACAGTCGAGCGTCAGTCCCGGGATATCCAATATTAAAGCAGCGCTTTACAGTATAATATAATATTCTTATGCTGAAGATGTTACAGTTTTATCCGCTTCTTATTAAACACGCTGAACATGCAGCAATAAATAATGATGTTTGTCTGTGATTGTGAGACACACAGAGACACAAACCTTCACAAACACAGACAAAAATAAAAGATTGGAATATTAGAGCGACTGAACCCTAAAAAACATCAAAAACATGTCCAGCTCACATTCCATAATATACATTATTCATTTTCATTGGGTAACATTAAATAACATGAACTAAGAATGAACAATACTTAGCATTTATTAATCTTAGTTCATCTCAACATTTACTACTACATCTGTAAAATCAAAAATGATCTTTTAACATTAGTTAATACACTGTGAACATGAACATTTTTAACATAAAAATGCATAAAACAGCATAACATGCTGTTAAAGTTTTTGTTATTATCTAATGTTAAAAAAGAGAACTTGTTGTAAGGTGTTACAAAATAATTAAAGGGTTTAAAGAGATTCAGGAAGAAGAACTGTAAAAGAACTAGAATTTTACTGTAAACTGGAGAGTAAACTCAAAAATATTTGCAAATAATACTTTTCTTTTAAAATATGTACAAATTCACTATAAATCTTATATCTAAAATCCCAAAAATGGCTCCATTAATGTTTCTTCTTTTGTCACATTCAGTAATGAATTACATGATGATGTAAATGATAAGCTGTATATCCAAAACAGCAAAATAAAAATAAAAAATAAAATAAAATATAAAATATAATAAAATACTGAGTAGTTTGCATCACTGGTTATTTCTCTCAGTCGCATTTCTATCATAAAACATCTCATTCTGAAGTATTTTGTTGTTAAAACTGGATTTTATTTGCCATGCCAATCATCTTGAAGTGTGGCACGTTTACTTTTTAATTTCTTGTCATCCATATAACAAAAAGAGTGGTGCAAAATGGCGTGCTGCAGATATTTCCAAATATATACATCAAATATTAGGGACATCTGTGGTTACGGAACTGTTTAAATTAGCTAAAATATCATAATATACATTTTAATTTACTGAATGAAAAATATATATCTTATTTATCTATTGATTTGGGCTGAAATATGAGCCGGACACGAGTGACGTGCAACGTTTATTAATGAGAGCCGGTGATTGTGTTCGCAGGCTCGGTTGCGAGCGCAGGGACAGTCAGGGGCCGCGGTGACACAGTCAGAAACACATGAAAGCGGTTCAGGGACGAGGCTCTGAAGACTCACACACACTTTGTTCTCCGCTTCAAAGAACAACGCTCACTCAGAGGAATCCACAAACAATACAGGAGGAAAAAATGATAAAAACAGCCAGAGAAACTGAACGGAGTTTAGTTAAAACGAAACTAATCGTACCTGACAGGAGCGCCTCGGCTCTGAGCCGGTTTAAGCACCACCGTCACCGTGCTATCCGTCTGGTTCAGAGGAGTCTCCTGATCGTACGCCGGCATCGACGGAGCTGCAAAGTAAGCAAGCAGGCAAGTAAAATTTGATTTATATTGCACTTTTAAAGCTACAATGCACAAAGTGCGTTACACAGTATTAAAACACATTCATGAATAGCTATACACAATATATTAAAAAGCAAAAAAGATCTAACCCAAAATGCACAAAATACTAAAAGCACATCTACACATGTACAAATACAAGTACATTCAGATGCTCTAATATCCTCGGGCAAAATATTCTCACTGCAAATGCTCTATCTCCTTTAGTTTCATATCTAGTTCTTGGAACTGCCGGCAATTCTTTAAAAGAAGATCTAAGACATCTTCCCTGTTTCGTACGGTCTCAGAAGCTCAGCTAAGTACATGGGTGCCAAGTCGTTTAAGGCTTTACATGTCAATAATAAAATCTTAAACTCGATCCTATCATAAACAGGTAACCAATGTAAAGAAGCTAAAACAGGTGTAATATGATAACGTAACTTGGTTTGTGTCAGTAATCTGGCTGCAGCATTCTGCACTAATTGTAAACATGATAAATTGCATTGATACAAAGAAGAAAAAAAGACGTTACAACAGTCAAGACGGGAAGAACTTCACACCAGGAAGCTTTAAAACAGCAGCTCAATCACTACAGTCATCACACAAGTGCACAAACATAAGTCAATAAACCAGTGTACATTCACATATTTATGTACAGTATAATTTGGAGGCTATGAATTGCATTTTCAGATCTGTATATTATGTTTCTGGAGTGTTCTTGCATCATAAAAGTTCAAATAGTTGTAAAAAAATATATTTTACTAGGAGATCATTTACTAGGAGGTTGTCTGGTCGTTGCTAGGGTATATTGTGTGGTTACTAAGTGGTTGCTAGACTAGAGTGTTGTGGATGGTTACTAGGAGGTTACTAGTGCATGTTTGGTCACTAGGAGGTTGGCTAGGGTGTTCTGGGTGGTTACTAGGAGGTCGCCAGGTGGTTGCTAGGACATTTTGTGTGGTTACTATGAGGTTACTAAGTAGTTTCTGGGTTGAAGTGTTCTGGATGGTCACCAGGAGGTTGCTAGATGGTTGCTAGGATAGTTAGTTGGTTCTTATGGTGTTCTGGGTGGTTACTAGGAGGTTGCCAGGTGGTTGCTAGGGTATTTTGTGTGGTTACAAAGTGATTGCTGAGCTAGAGTGTTCTGGATGGTCACAAGGAGTATGCTAGATGGTTGCTAGGGCAGCTAGTTGGTTCCTAAGGTGTTCTAGGTGGTTACTAGGAGGTTGCTAGAGCATTTTTTTATAACTAAGGTGTTGCTAGGGTGTTCTGTGTGGTTACTAAGAGGTTTATTGATGGTTGCTAGGGCTGTTATGTTATTGCTAGGGTGTTCTGGGTGGTTACTAAGAGGTTGCTTGGGCAGTTTGGTCACTATGGTGTTCTGGGTGGTTACTAGGTAGCTGCTATGGCATTTTGTGTGGTAACTAAGAGGTTCCAAGGGTGTTCTGGGTGGTTTCTATGAGATTCCTAACTGGTTGCTGGGCTGAAGTGTTCTGGGTGGTTACTAGGAGGTTGCAGTTAGGTTGTTCCTAGGGCATTATGGATACTTATTAGAAGTTTGCTAGGGCATTTTCGGTCACTACGAGGATGCTAGGGTGTTCTGGGTGGTTACTAGGAGGTTGCAGTTAGGTTGTTCCTAGGGCATTATGGATACTTATTAGAAGTTTGCTAGGGCATTTTCGGTCACTAAGAGGATGCTAGGGTGATCTGGGTGGTTACTAGGAGGTTGCAAGGGTATTTTATGTGGTTACTAAATGGTTCCTAAGTTATTGCTAGACTAGAGTGTTCTGGGTGGTTACTAGGACATTGCTAGGTCGTTGCTAATGTGGTTAGGCTGTTCCTTTGGCATTCTGTGTGGTTACTAGGAGGTTGCCAGGTGGTTTCCAGAGTATTTTATGTAATTACTAAGAGGTTCCTAAGTTGTTGCTGGGCTATAGTGTTCTAGGTAGTTACTATGGGATTGGTAGGGCAATAAGGTTGTTCCTAAGGCAATCTGGGTGGTTACTAGAAGGTTTCCAGGTGGTTGCTAGGGTATTTTATGTGGTTAGTGAGAGGTTCCTAACTGGTTGCTGGCTAGAGTGTTCTGGGTGGTTACCAAGGGGTTGCTAAGGCAATTAGGTTGTTCCTAGGGCGTTCTGGGCAGTTACTAGGAGGTTGCCAGGGTCATCTGCATGTCCATTGAGTTACTTCATAGTGTTCTATGCTATTCCAGATTAAAGCATCTGCTGCAGACACACACCTGAGATCATGGTGGTGGCCTGGGTGATGGCGGGCGGTCCGAAGCCCTTGGCGGTGCTGGCTCTGATGGTGAAGGAGTACGTGGAGCCGGGGTAGAGACCCAGAAACACGTGGCTGGTTTCATTGCCCAGTTTAACCACCTTCCCGCTCTGGTTAGAGAGATCCAGCACCGGGTCGAAGGAGCTGACGGCTTTATACGAGATCTGCGGGAACGAGAACAACACAAACATCAGCGTTCATGTTAGAATCACACAAATTAATTTCAGTGTCGCCAAACAAATGATTCAAGAAGTGCTTTGAGTTCCACCAAATTAGATTCTATTATATCCGAAATGCTTCAAGGCCCTTTCCAATTATCAGCCTACCATAAATAAATAAATAAATAAATCAATAATAACGTCTGTGATTCTGACGGATCAGGGTAGGAATCTGAAAGGCAAAGTGTCTTCTCCTTATATTTGGAAGGGTTTGTTCATTATGCGGCATTAATGAAGCGTCGTACTCGAAACACTTTGATTTGCGACCTTTGATATTGAGATTTTCTATCACGAGCTTCTGTTTCTCATAACCTCACACTGCTATTAGATTTAAATTATTCCCACTCTGAAATGAGAAAGCGGGGATGTGTGAACATCTGACTGACGTCATCCGGTGCAAACGATGTTCCTGCAATGGATCGGTCAGGAACAGAGAATCTGAGGACGGGAAATCTCACTGGAAATTTACAAGAAGAACAGAATGTCTGGAATCAGAGAGAGAGAGAGGAAGGAGAGGAAGGATCAGGGTTCCCTTGATAAGAGGAAAAAACCCAAACTGTCCTTTTGATATCACGGCCCGTCAGAGAGTCTCAGCTTCAGCGCTTTGATACTGTCAAATCAAAGGCAGGACGTCACTGCGAGCTCATGGACAATCGAGTCTACGGTTAGTCCCGTCTGACTGCACACACACACACACACACACATGCACGCACACACTTGCACACACACACGCACATGCTCACACACACGCTCACGCTCACACACACTCACACACACACGCATGCACACACTCGCACACACACACACGCACATGATCACACACACGCTCACTCGCACACACACGCACATGCTCACACACACACTCACGCTCACACACGCATGCACACACTCGCACACACACACACACACACACACACACACACACACACACACACACTCGCACGCACACACTCGCACACACACACACACACACACACACACACACTCTCTCTCTCTC